CAAAACAATCCTCTCGTATTCCCAGGCAAGGTGGAGCTGATCTAGTTGATTAGAAAGCCCCCTTTGCGTGCCATCTGGTTGGCATATAAAATTACCGCAATGAAGCAAGATAGTCAGTTGGCCACACAACCGGGAGGCAGGAAACTGGGAGTCTAGTTCTTGGCCAAATTGACCTAGAAAGCAAGCTGGTTTATATTTTTCAAATTCACAAATTTTCTGAGCTGAAAGGGGCTCTTAGGGACAAAATGCATAGATGTTAGCATACAGAACCAATCAGTGAAATGCAGTATTTAAAACAATAAAGTTGGTTAAAGAAAACCTTTTATTCAAATATTAGACTTTTAAAAAACCTTTTAAAAAATCATGATGGGGAAGGAATTACTGACTTAGGTTATCTGTTCAGGACAAAAACGCCATTTGTGAGCAGAAACCAGGTCATTCTTGATTGTCTCTTTTTTTTTTTTTAAACAATGTAGCAACCCAATAACAAATTCACTCACCAATGCTGGACTTACTAGGTATAAAAGGAAATGAGCTCTACTTTTTTAGACAGCAAATGGCTAAACTCACTTATCAATGTGTGATCTTTGGCAATTGACCAGATCTCTCTCAGCCTCAGTTTCCTTGACTGTGACAGAAAAGATTGGACTTCATTAGATGGAAATGTTCCTCAGATGTAAATTTTCCCACCTATTTTGCTTTATGAGTGGAAAGAGAAATCTCTGACCAAATTTGTTACTGTGCTTTCTGCCCTTCATTTGGTTATGCCTCTTCTATTGCCTTCCACCTGCTCCAGTCTATCTCCAGTTGGGGGCATCCCGAGTTCCCAGAATTCCTGGGTCTGGAGAGTTGTGGCTGGTTCGTATAAACAGGGTGAATGTGACTCCAGGCATGTGAGGTCTCTTCTACCAGGAATCTCTACATAAAGAGGATTCCTATATCATGGGGGGAATGTAAATGAAGGGGGAAGTTTTATCTTTGTGGGACTGGTGGAAAGACTCAGACTTGGGAATCAGTTGGCCTTAGGTTTGCATCCTATCTCTGGTATTTACTGTGAGTAGGACTCTTAATTATTTCCTCACCTAAAATTGATGACAGCTAATACCCACCTTGAAGGATTATTAGGTTAAAATCATAGGTTCTCAGTAAATGGTAGCTATTTTGACTTTTAGCCCTGATCAAAGTAAAAGGAAGTTCCTGCCAAGACCTCTAAGCAAAATGTTGATGTTCAGCCTAACAATGGACATTCCCAAAAAAATTAGGCAAAAATATCATCCAAAGGCATTTTCAGTCATTGATAAGTTGGCACTGTGTTTTTTCTAGAGCTGAATACACTGTTATACTGTTCATAATTGTAATAACCAATCTCATAAAAATAATTTTAATTTTCTAAATTCTAAGAACTTAAACAAGAATGTTATATTTGGTAAACATTTTATTTTTTAAAATTTAGAATATCCTACCCTGATAAGAAATTTACCTACAAATGTTGAATATATTTATTAGGTGTGCAGGGAAAATAGCTGTAATTTTTTACGCAGTGAATGGAGTAAAGAAATGTGCAAACCAATCCAAATGTTTATAAACCAAGGATTCCTCTGGGACACAGTGCTCTGACTTTTATGTTTTGTTTTGTTTTAAACAGAGAGTCAAGCTTTGTTCATACTTGAATTATATACTTTGCATAAGCCATGCAATTTAACTTTAACCCACAGGACTGAAAATAAAATGAGCTCAGACTACAGAGCACAGAGACCGTGAGCAAGAACGTTAATCAAAGTGAAAGACGCAACCCTTACTGCTAACTCTGTCCTTTCCAGTCTGCTCCCCCCACCCCGCCACGTTATTTAGGGTGTTTCTTGCTTGACTCATCACAGTGGCAGGAACAGGTTACATATTTCATTGTGGAAAAGGGATTTGTCTTTTAAATGAAAGTTTGTGCATATGCCCTTAAGGAGGTTGATGAGGAGCACATAATTTTTAAAAATCATAAGTGAATGCATACCCTTTGCCACTTGTAATGATGACAAAGCTTAAGTAATTCAGGCAGGAGCATGGTTTGTTAAAAGCACAAAACAGGATTGACTAGTTGAGACGGTCTGCCTAAACAAGCTCACCCATCTAAATGTTTTCAACTATAGTTCAAATTTAATACAAGCAGGTTTAGTAAACGAACCACGTTTGCTCATTGAGTGTTTTGGAACATCACAAAATAAACCAATACGTGGCTTTTAGGCTTATTTGGACAAAGAGTCAACAGAGAACCCCACAGAGGGGGTTGGAACCCATTCGTGTGGCATTCAGCTTTACCAATACCAGTCAGGGACCTGACCACGTTCACCACCTGCCCATCACCAATTGCTTTTCTCATGGGGCTTGCTGTGGATTTCTTTCCTTGTCACTCTCATTTATTATCCTAGACAGAGGAGGCAGTGACTTAGTTCTATGTGGTCATAGTTGATTCTGTATGGGGTATATTTAGCCTGCATGATGATATTTGTGAGTCTTTTCCTATGAATGTCTAGCTTTTCAATGTTATTAATGAGGACTATCTGAACAGACACTAATAGCATCGAATGCCTATGTGTTCACTTCACCCTCCTCCAACCCCACTCGAAGGACTGCTTTATAGATTACGTAGATTAGACTGATACCTTAAGTCAGTGTGATAGTCTAATTCTCCACCCAAATGGTAAGGGAGGAATTAGCCTAAGGACACTCCATTCTGATTCTCTGTTGCTGTTGATAATAACCAGACTTCATAGGGCAATGATGTGGGGGTGGGGAAGATGGTTCTAACACCATTGGTGTTAGACCGGGAGCTACTGTTCCTTTTGGAGCCACATTTACTTCCGTAGTAGTTGTGGAGGAGAGGCGTGCTCCAAATCGAAGAGGACTCGGTGTGGGTCAGGTATGACAGACCACCTGGACGGTCCAACTCTCAGACTAAAGTGTATGGGCTAGAGGTGGGCTGGGTACTTTCCATACATTGAGCTAAAAATCACTTGGGTTCTGGGGGAGATAGAAAATGAGAGCCAGAAACAAAAGATCCAGTTGTGAAACCTAGCACCTAAGGTATATGAATACATTTTCTCCTTTACAAAAATTCAGGGAAACTTGAATCTTTTGCTAACCTGATTATTTTTAGCCAGCCCTTATAGAAGATAAGGCACTGGAAAATGACTAACCCTAGAAAATATTAATTCATTTTTGTACATGTTAAACTGAATGAACATGATCATATTTAGCGTGCAATAGGCAATTAAAAATTTTTGGAGAGATAAGAAGAACAAAAATCATAAATATTATATATTCAAAATCAGTCTTAAGGCATTTTATAAATTTTTTGGCTTATCTCCAGGACATAGGGTGGGGGTGGGGGCTGGTATGGTTTCTTTGTAGCCGAAGAAAGAGTAGAAAAGAATCTGCTCTATTTCCTTAAAAATAAAAGACTTCTTGTTTATACAGCATGGAAAATGAAATGATTTTCTGTTTTTTACCTGCCGGCAGGATCTGGAAAAAATTTTTCTAGCAAGCTATGCTGTTTTCTTCTCTTTAGGGACCTGGTAACACTGGTTTTGTAGCAAAACAATATTTGCTTATTAGGCATTTCTTCAAAAGCCTGAATAAGCAGTTCTTTCACATTTTTTGTTCCACATGTTAAACATTTCATTGCAATTTGAGCTTCAATTGTGTGTGTGCGCGCGTGTGTACATGTGGGTGTTCGTGTGTACGTGTGGGTGTGTGTATGTGTGTGTATGTGTGTGTATGTGTGTGTGTGTTGATAGGAAGGATTGAAAGGGTGTGTATAAGAATTCTTGGAGGTTTTTTGTTTAAAAAATGAGTCCCTACAGTTATGAATTGGAGTCTCTATAGAAGGTGATTCAAATTTATTACATACAGCCAAGCTAGATCCCATCAATCTTGAACAGCAGGGCTAGGGAGGTGGTATTGAGGAAGACATGAAATTCAGTGTTTGAGTAGATGAGATTTAATTTTCGGAAACATTTCACTCATAAAACGAATAGCACTCCAGTGTCAGCCCTGACCTCCATGATGTCAATGTCATCGTGCAAGCGTAGCTATGATAGCCTCAAAGTAAAACAAAGAAACCCCGCATCTCAGCAAGCACCGTTTCTTTGACAGTATGTAATATATATATATATATATCTCTATATATTTATTTATTTATTTTGATATTCTTGTTCATGCCTTGTTACTTTACCATTTAGCTTTTGGGTGGGAAGGGAGGAGAAAAATCATTTTGCATTTCCTATGTTCTAAGCAAGTACGGTCTGCTGCTGCACGTCTTAACATTATTTAGGTCAGTATCCTAAGGATAGCTTTTTTATCTTTCTTAATAGGCAGCTACACACTCCAAGAAATTCAGCATCAATTTATTTTTCTGTGCTAATTTTATTTTTCTAAGTTGAAGCAAATTCATTCACATTTTAATACAATTCCGACGGAGGAGGTATCTGCCGTTCTGTACTGCAGATAGATTTAGCAGGATACATTTACACGCTTGTGGTTAGAGGTTATAGCACTGATACCAGCAGCTGATCATGCATTCTCCTACAAGCCTGCCGGCAGCGTTTAGGATCTTGAAAAATAATCTAGAAATGCTCCATTCTTTTAAAATTATTTTAATTTGCAACAGCTTAACAGTTTTTGGTTTTTTGTTGTTGCTGTTGTTAGCAATTCTATGAAATTAACAGTCTATAAAATGCATCCCCATCCAGATACATACTGTATTGAAAGCTTTCTTCAGGAAGAAGATGTGACAGTGTTCACTCCAGCTTATTTTCTTCCTTAGCAAAAGGATTGTTTGATTCTCAGAAGCAGAAGGAGACTTTCATTGTGCAGCAGCTCTGCTTAAGTGTTTGAAATGCCTTCTACTGTCTGGTTGCAGAATTTGGAGTTTGCTAAACAGTGTTTAGTGATTGGGCTCATCTTGCATCACCAGTTGATGACATTTTTCTTTGTTCCCTCCTACCCAGTTGAACCAAGACTCTGAGGCTGATATGCAATGTCACTTACAACATTAATCAGATACTGCATTTAAGGTGAGCTGTCCCTTGCCTCCTCCTTCCCCAGTGCTCGTGTGCTGCATGCAGTGTATCTTGCTTCTGCGAGCCTAAGATGGCAGGCAGGATTAGCCGTGCTTGTGCTGTGTGTGCATGCTGTGTATAGAATTCATTACACGTTGCCTAGTATTTCAGATGTGAGTATGTAAATGCTCTGTATGCCATATCATCTGGTAGCGAAGACTTGTTTTTGCCTCATTACAGCCTTAGATATTTCAGCCTCACCTTTCAGTTCCGATTCATTTGCTTTTGGATGTTTGCTTTTCATCACATTCAAAATAGGATTTTACCTTTTTTTTTTAACAAAGCCAGAAAAAAAGCCACTAAAAACAAAACAACAACAAAACTCTGCTACCAGATGGTGTCTCCCCTTTCTTCTTGCATTTGCTGTCTTTTAAATAATGTATGTTGTATTGTTAATTAATGTGAATATCAAATTAAACACTTGAAACTTACATATTTATTATGCAGGTAGGAGGCAAGGTGGAATCTATTTTTAACTCTTATGCACTCCATGGTGTGCAAACAACTTGTTTCTCAAATTTGTGTTTTCAGTGCTGGTATCAGTGGTTTGATTTTCAGCAAATGTGACCGTGGCCTTTGCAGTGGTCAGCTCCGGGCTTTGAACTCTCAGAGGAGGAAGGGAAAAAAATTCAGCACACTACCTCCTTGGTTGCAGCCTCGGAGAAACCTTGGATGAGAAACTTCTTTTTTTCCAATCCTGTTTTCCTGTTGATAAATTCAGTTCTCGTGATCGCAGTACATTCAAGCTGTTCTGCGTATGATTTTTTTGTGTGTGTGACAATTGCATCTAAAACTTGTGAGCAAGAAGACGGAGAAATCAGTTGGTCTCCATCGCTTTACATAAAAATGGCTGAGTGTCTTGTCATGCTAGCACTGCATTAAGTGATACATACAGGTAGGTTGAAATCTGCATGTTTTATAGATTTTTTTGAGCCAGGCAGCACAACATCAGATGGATTTAACTATGGCTTTTAAAACAAAAATTAAATAAGACAATTGTAATTTCTTGGAGGGAGGGTATTAAATAGGATAGGTTTTCCCATTCAGTTACTCTGTAAGTATATAGCTTTTATGAACTTACATGTTTCTGCTATAAAAGTGAGATGATTCCTTTTTTAAAAATTATATATATGATAGGTGTGGCGCCATTAAGCAACAAAAGAATTTTTTGAAAAGTCTGTTGATTCAGTTCCATTTTAGCTTGAAACTAAAAATAAATCGGTTTCTGGAGATAATTTCAAAGGGCGCAAACAAGCCTAATAAGAAACATTGAAAATATTTAAATTTTAACAAGCGGTCTTTAAACGTGTTATATGAAAGATGAAAATAAAAACTTACATGCTTCCAAAATCAATTTTAGATAATATACAAGAATAAGTACACTATTTGTATATCTATTATTGGGGGGGATGGGGAGTTACTATTTGTAAAGGGAGGAATATTGAATATAGATGGCCTTGTTAGAAGAAAAAGAGCTTCATTGAATGAAAGTGTCCCTCGAATGGTTCATTGCAGACCCTACAGCTGTGGTTCTATAAGCACCAAATGCTGGCACTTTTCAAAATAATTTCATGAGCTCTTTGAGCTTAACTTCTCAAATATATTTTAGTTTCAAATTAAGACTGGACCAGAACCTGTTTCCTTGGCAACCACATCTTATTTAAAAATGCAAAAACAGATAGGCAAAAGATTGCCTTTTTCTTTAAAAAAGAAATAAATATGTAATGAAAATTTTACATTTCTTTTTTCCTCTCACTTATAGTCTGAACTGGCTTTAGACATTTTTTAATGCGGTCGTCAAGCCTTAAAAATTAAGCCATGTTGCTACCCATATAGAGAAAGCTTGCACAGTGAGGGCTTTTTTTCTTCCTCCTTTGTGCTCGGTACTTTCAAAATTAGGTTTTCTTTGTCATCTGCTCCAGAATGCTGGTCAAGGTTTGTGTACAAAGGTGTAGTTTCATTATCACGAGTTCACCAGCGCCACTGAAACAAAAGGTGTTTCAGAAATTCTGAAAATCAGGAAATGCTTATGCTCTTGTTTTCCCCGTCCCTCCATTGGTACCTCAGAGATCTTGCAGAGAAGGACCCAAGCCCAAGCCCAAGCCCACTCCCCCACCACTGATAGGTGCCCATTGAGCCTTTGTGGACAGAACTTCATACGTGTGTTAAGAAGATATTGCCAAACCTGAAAGCTCCCTGAGGTTTGGTCCGATGTGCAGAACATTGATATTCAGAACCATCTGTGTAAATAGTTACTTTATTCTAGCAGTTTCTAATATTCCAAAGCACTCACTGTAATGTTGTTGTTGTTATTGTTGTTGTTGTTGTTGTTATTGTGTTGTTTTGAGGCCAATTTAAATATTTTGCTTGGAGTCTTTCTCTGGTTCATTTATGTCAGAACATGATCCATCTCATAGTGATTTCATTTTTGAGGCTTGCCATGAAATAGCCTTCCTGCAACACCTCTTTTTTTTTTTTTTTTTTTTTTGCCGGGCTGTTCGGAAGCCATTTTCCTTCCTGCCTGTGACTTAAAATGACTAAGTACATTTTGAATATAGCATCAATCAGAAAATCGTAAACTGAAGGGAAATGTCAGAAACCTAATTCAGTCTTGCCTATTTATTTTAGTACCAGTAGCATTAACAGTTGCAGTAGGATCAAGCTAATTGTCATTCGCTCTCGAACAAATAATGAGCCAGGCATTTGTAATTAAAACACTATTGCTATTCAGAAAGATTACAACTACAATGTCTTCTATTTTGATAGGTCAGTACAAATTAATCATTTTGAATCCATTTGAATCTTAATTACAAGATAAGATGGATACATGCAAGGGAATTGTTTTATCATAAAAAATGAATGCCTGATAGATTCAACAGTGTATTTTTTTCTCTATAACATTTCAGCCCTTTTGTTCTTAACTCAAGCATGGTTGTGTCATCATGTAGATTTTCATACCTAATGATTTTTTGTGACATTATTGACTCATGTTGCACTTGGTCTCTCCTAAAAGTCTTTTAAACACAATCCAAGAGCTTGAAGCCAAATAAGACAATGGGGAAATATATTGTACCATTGCCATTCTGATAAGTAGACCAGTGAATGGAAGAATAATCATAATTTATTACTTTGCTGTTTCACCTTAATGCTTTGTCTTCATATTTCCTGGAAATGTTTATAAGGCATAAAGCTTTTCTAAACTTACCCACTTGCTATTACTATTGGATTTCCTAGATTAGCCAGAAACACTTCTCATCGATTATAGAAGATGGCAGTTACCCCTTCTTATTGCTTAGAAAAGCTATGCTTAACCCATTTGCACTTTTTGGCTAAGAAGTTTCTGGGCAGGCCAGAGCAGGTGTGACAGGAAGAATGTAGAAACAATTATTTTGTTTTCACCAAATGGGCACATCTGTGGTTTTTTTGCTTGAATGATTTATGGTATAAAATTCTCGACTTTTTTTTTTCCCCCTTTGGAAAATAGTATGTACATTTTCCTAAGGTTTTTAGTCAGAGCAGTTACCAAGATTGCATTTTTTTGCTGCTACAGTGATGTTGATCTATCGTGGATTCCTCCATGGCTTGAATGGTAGGCCATTTCTTACAACTGGGTGATATGATGAGAAGAATTTGCTACAGAAGCTAGCATGTTTCTCTTTAGTGTTAAGTCAAACCTTTGCACTCCTGGTACCATATGGTTCATGCTAACGGCTCCCTTCTAAGAGAAAGGCTATTGTTAACAGCTTTCTTGGTAATTAAACATTCAACACATTTATTGAGCACCTACTATATGCCAGGCAAGTTCCAGAGGCTGGAAATAAAGTCATGAACAAGAGAGACCCGTCTTTCTCTACTGTGTTGGGGTGGCAGAAGAGGAAGGGAAAAATAAACGTGTAAAAATTGATGAGGGAAGACAAATACAAAGATGAAAAATGAAACTAAATTTTAAAAAGCAGGGGCAACATGCTGGGAGGAAGGGAACCACACTGGGGTGGTTGTCCAGGAAAGTCTAGCAGAGGAGGTGGCATTGAGTGGAGATCCATACAGTGAGATGGAGCCAACCAAGTGAAGATCTGATGGGTTGATCCTTACTTAGGGAGCTTCCCCTGCAGTAAGAGGGTAGGCCAAGCCCCCATGGCTGGTTTTTGTAAAATTCTTGGGACTTGGTGCCAGTGGAGCCATTGCTTTTGACCCCATCCCTACAAAGAAATTGCCTACAAAAGGAGCAGTGACTCTCTGGACATTATAGTCCTATGAAATTATAGTCCTATGAAATTTTGGCACAGATTCAGCACCAACCCATGAAATCCATGGCAGAAGAGCTTCTCAAAGCATGGAAATTTCTTGGAAGTCTTGTTTTATTTTTCAAAAGGGCACTAGAATTTAAACTCATGGCGAAACATTGAAATAGTTATTTCCTTTAATTTGTTTTCAAAGGCAAATGCTGGAAAAGTCTGTCACATCTCTGCAATAAATTGCCTTTGTCTTTGAATGCTAAACAACTCAGCTCTGCAGACTTATTTGCTTGTTGGTGGTTTTCTAAAGATTTTACCACATGAAGTGATATGCGAACAAATAATGCTAGAAATTGTGAGTGTATGTGTGTAGAAGAACTGGGGTATAGGTCAGCGGTGCAGGGGGGTGAGAGGATTTGTCAGAGACAGAGTGTAGAACAGAGTGGGTAGATTTACTGAAATGCACTGCTAAGTGAAGCAGTGGGTGAGACAGGAGAGGTCTGCTGTGCCATATGTGGGTTAGCTCCCTGGCCGGGGATCAAACTCAGGCCGTAGGGGTGATAGCTCTGAGACTTAACCCCTAGAATACCAGAGAGATCCTAGAAAATTCGTGTGAAGAACCGTAACTCCTTTTTGCTTTTTAGATTGGTCTGTTGATGAAGGTCCAAGAACAAAGACATAGGTTTGCTATGTAAGTTCTAAACTATAAGGCCCTTTGAA